AATACGTGCATGCTTTTTTTTTTTCGTTCTGGCACTGTGGCAGTATTTTCTGGGAGACGTGATCGTAGTTTGGAGAGCTTGGATCATCGTCGGAGACAAACCCCGCGCTCGGTTCGCCCTCGGTACCTGCCTACTTGCAAGTTTCGGTGAGCAGCGTGATCCGATGGCCAACTTTTGACATCCTTTCGCCGTTGTGTATATTGACGCATTACATTTCTGCAGTTGCTATTATAGTCAATGTCACCTACACCATAAAATCGCTTCTGATATCCGTAAGCTTAATCGCCCCAAAGGTCGAGAACTGACTTTTGATGTAACTTCTTTTTTGTTTGGCCAGAAACCCCAACCTGTCCCATGGAGACTCATGCTTCCGACGACGTTGTTGATCACCAATATCCTGGCTAACTCCCTTGTTGCCCACAGGATTTGGTAAGTCTCCATCTTCCTCTTATCTTTGTCTGAGACTCTAATCAACACGCCACTCGTGCACAGGCGCTATCGTCTCGAAGTAGCAAAATACCTCAAATATGGTAAAGACGGCAAAAGAGGTCAAGTCGAACGCGTCTTGACTCTTCTCCTCGAATACGGAATTCTGTACTCTTTCCTCTGGGTAAGCCCCCTCGTTCTTCCCCCCGGGAATTCCTTTTCACCGACTTGAATCGCAACCTTCCCCCAAAAAACCTTTTACTCTCGCTTATTTTATTCACGTCAAAAATGAAACAGGTCATGACCCTCATCACTACCAGCCCCCGGGCCCATACCAACGACTACCCCGTCTTCTTCGGGATCATCCTTCCTCACTCCATCATCATCTACCCGACCATGATCATTCTCTTCGCACCCACGGATTCGACCACAACGGTGATATTACAGGGGAGTGTTCCAGATTTTCCACCTACCTCGATCAACGCTTCTCATCAAATCGCTCAACGAAGTCATGGTCAGGAACCTATACACTTCGCTACTGCACGTGGTAGTCATAGCATTAGTGTTAACTTGAACGAGAGTTCATTCGACAACAGATCAGACGGATGATCACCGAGACGCTTAAAGACATCTGTGAGAAGGATGGGAGGGATGAGGTGAATTTACAGACCCTCGGACCTATACTTGGCTTCGGTAGCCTGTAGGTACGGAGACGAGGAAGATAGAAACGATAAGTAGTAAGATGGACTCTTAGAACGTGAGGTTCGAAGCTAGGCTTGGATTGATTGATCTTCGCAGATTGGGCACCGCAGGCTCCAAAAAAATAGTAGTGCCCTTGGGTCCTGGAAGACATATATTGGGGTTTTAAATTTTAAGTTGTGATCGTACTCTCCAACTTACTTCGAAGTGAAAGAAAGTAGTAATAACATATATGTATACATGAATACGATCAATTAATGAACTGTACTTACAATATAAGCTCATCTTTTAGGTGTGCTGTGTAGGTCTGATCTGCGTAACTAACTCAAAGGATTTAAAAACCAGTTATCTAGACGAGTGCTACTTACCAAAATGTCAGAGACCAGGTGCGATGGGTTTCACTGTTAGTGGCTAGCCTCGAGGTAATATTAGTGGCCGCACCACAGAATCAAAGGTAGAGTTGAAGGAAGAAAAAAAGGTTTGACAGCCGCTCGGGATTTCAAGTACGTAGGCTTGATATACTTAAGTCTATATCTGCGGATATCTATGACTTGAAGTACTTAAGCCGGCTAGACAAGTCCGCGTCCGCGCTCACTGGATTGCGTGGCACTGTGCACTGATCTAGTCTCCCCTAGTAGGCAGACTGACGATATAAACATGGACACTCACCGTGTGTTCATATGGAGTCCCAAGCACTTCTCGTCGTAGTTTGAACGGATTCACTCACTAGATGGTAGGAAGTCGCATCAGCGGTCCAGGAAAGGCCTGCCATCCTCGATTATTAGTGAGGCCCAGGCCGCTTCAAGTTGTAATGGAACACAAAAACTCTACATCAAGGAAAGAATTCTGTGGGGTAAAAGCTTGAGCTGCTGGTATGACATTCGAAGCAATCCACGAACCGTGAATCTTGACTTGAGACTTGTAATCGCTAGTCTGGTCATCATGGAAGCTGTTTGCGTGTTGCTTTCTTCGACTGTAGAAATTATGGCCAGCCCGATTGTGTTAGAGAGAAAATAACTAAAAACAAAGTTTCTGTATTCACCTGTCCATTCTTCCCATCGACAACTTGCACCGGCCCTGGTCAAATGATGATTGGAAAGTTGAAGACGGAAATTTCCAGGGACGAGTGATAGGGCCCTTCCATTATTAAGGGTAAGTATCCCAGCCGCTGATACTGATCGTTTCTTTGAACACCGTCTCCCTCATAACTGAGAGCCGTTGACCCTGCATCGGTTATCCCCGCAAGAATAGTACATATAGACCGAACCAAACGCCTTGGGGACCAAGTTCGGTAGAGCCGCTTGAATGACACTTGACCGTCCAGCAAGAAATTGAATTTTGGGTCCGCCGGCACAGTTGTGGACAGGGATTCGCTAGCGCCATTTGGATTGCTGTCGAGACAAAACTGAAATACTGCACACAGAGAAAAGAAGACGTGTCCCGTACAAAACACCCTACTTATCGGCAATCCTTGGGTTGCTCTCCAAGGTTTCGACCCCATCGTTTACTGTTTATATCATATATTTTCAGGCCAGTGTGCTATTGATTGAGCCGTCGGCACCTCCACCGCTGCATGAAGAGAAAGATACAGTGGCTGCAAAAAACGATGTCCCCTCCCAATTGAGTTTTTGAATTGGGAGGGGACATCGTTTTTTGCGGCCACCGTACATTACTTTTCGAAAGTTCAGATGGAATGAAACAAGCCCCCGTTGACCCTGTTTAGTCAAAGCTGCGGAAAAGCCGACGCCATCGTGAGATGTGAGCCAAAGAAAAGATGTGGATAGACGATGACTGGGTGAGTTGCGTAGCATAAAGTAAAGCGTTCTGTACGTACTCGTAGAGAATCACGAGCCATGCCCATCTATCTGCTCGCGTCTAAGGATAAGAAACCATTTTGGATGTCTAACAATCGAAATTGAAAATGCACCACATTGGCCACCAGAAAAGAAATTACTCTGAACATCTCGTAAAACGTCGTACCAAACGCAGCATTGTGCGTCGAAAAGCAATCAACAACATTTGCTGACTCGGATTTCTGGGCTGAGTACTAGTGCCCATGTTACCACCACCTGATTTGAGTCGCTGATGCTGGCCCTCGTCCCAAAAATTCCGCCTCCAGAACTCGAATTGTAACCATGAGAACCAATGAGGACCCGGAACGCAAAAACGGCATATGTAGGACTAAGTAGTAATTGGGAACTGAATCATCCTCGACCGGACCACGAGCGGCCTTCATTTCAAACCCTCTGCCCAATCTCCTACAAAAGGTCATTGGTAGATCTCCCTGCATTCAAGATTGAAGGACCGACACGATGTACATCTGGATCAATTCTATGACCGATGAAGCTGAAGGGTTTTCCGACATAACCGTTGGCCTTGGCGTTTCCGTATGTCCTCGGGCTCCTCCTCAGTTTCGATGAACTGCTGTCAGGCTTGCTTGACACGAACTTCAAACTCTTAATTCTCTTCGAGGTAACGTGTAATGTCTTTTTACTGTTTCGTGTCAAGACAACGTCAGACATTTGACTCCTTGTATATCCTATAGGCTATCTGAATACAAAAGCTGAGTTTAAAGACCTTGGCTGAATTGATTTCAAGGTACGGTGGCTCCGGTTTTTTTTTACATGTCACGACAGGTCCTCTCAGTTTCAATAACTTTCTTGTGCCTTTTTGACGAACCAGAGTAGCTCATTGCTCGAGATTTTTAATACTTGTTTGTTAGTACCTGGTTCAGACCACTGTTGGTACTGAATACATCCCCATTTCATGACATTGTATAAATACTGACCTTTTTTCTTTACCTTCTCTCACTTGAAAACACCTTCAAGATCGACAAATCATGTTCTATCGTTTTTCAATCGTGGCTTTGTTTACATCCGGAGCTGTTCTTACCATGGCAGCTGTATGTCCAACGACTTGTGTTTGCATATAACTGCCCCGTTGACTGAATGTCTTTCTTTCATCATCCCAAGCCCGCCACATCTAGTATTCCAGCAAGCCAATGCAACATCGGTTCGCTTCAATGTTGTAACGCAATCACAGATGTAAGTATTGCCCCCCGGTTTTTATCCTGATGGTCTTCCCAAGCGATGAACTGATGCTTACACCCCCACTTACGGACTCACCCCACTATGTAGATCAGCAATCCTGCGGTCCAAGTTCTCGCGACTCTTCTTGGTCGTCCAACTCTTACAACCTCAGATAACCTCGTCGGGTTGACCTGCGATCCAGTGACCGTCATCGGAATTGGTGGAGCATCGTGTTCGTCGCAGTTGGTTTGTTGCCAAGATAACTCGTTCGTAAGTACATACATACTCTTTTTTTTTGTCTTGTATCATGCAGCTGATTCATGGTTTGTTATTGGTACGCAAAGAATGGGATCATCGCGTTTGGATGCATCCCCGTCATTATCATCTAGGAAACCAAAAGAAATTACTTACAAAGAGCGCGAGCGAAATCATTTTTGGGATTATTTACTGCGTACCTATCTCGATTCTTTCTGGGTCTTTTGTAACAATATGTATAAAAGGATTTTAGTCGTTTGTTTTTTTTGTAATCTGCTAAAAGCGATTTGTTGCTGAATGATAAGAAGAGGTAAACACAAACTATCTATTCCAATCCATTCATTGATGAGGCTGGAACTTAAACCCAGATTTCTCCGGGAAGCTTCCTGAAATGGAATTCGAGGTGCGATGGCAAGCTTGGTAGGAGATCATTAAAAGACATGGTGTGGGGGAGATGGGAAGAACGTCAACTGTATGACTCAGTCAGAAAACTGTTGGGACGTATTTATTCAACTTGAGTGCGACAGCTTTCCTTCGTATACGTAGTGAAAGACCAATTAAGTTGAAACAAAAACAGCATTGCAAGACCGAAGGTCTAACCAGGACTCGAACCTGGGTTACGGGAAGATTAACGTTTCTTCCTAGCGAGGACCCATCAAAATCCCGTGTGCTAACCACTACACTATTAGACCACACTTTGCACTCCTCTGCAAACGGCATACGTCGCAGTGAGGAGGAGGGAAAGTCACATAGGTAAAGCAGGTATTGATTAGTGAACACGTTCCCTATAAAGGAACAAAGGCCCAAGTTACCAAACTTCGCTGGATAATATCGATGACGTCGTTTCATGCTGATATACGAAGCAGCACCGGTTCCGTGGAGATGAGGGGATACGTTCCTTTCGTTTCCCTTATCACCGATTAGTGGGAAATCGAACTTGAAATATGATGACACAGGGACCAGGAAGGAGTTATTATAGGATGTGCAATACGGAAGGATACGAAGATAAGGAGAGAATCTGACTGACGTGGTTACCCACTGGCATAAATTTTTGTTCGTACATATTCAAAAGACGGGAAGTGACGGCATGTCGAAGGTACTAGAACACTGCTGGAACTTCTTGTTACTTCAGCGACCTTGTACTTACCTTTTTTGATGTAAAGAACTGTCGTCATTTCAAGGAACTTATACACGTAGACCGTGGACACCTACTTCGTAGGACTACGCGCTCGTCATCCATCAGAGGGGAAAACTGATTCCCCCCTGTATCACATTTTCGACTTAGAAGTAGATCTGGTCTGGATCATCGGAACGATGATGTATTTAGGACTTATCTTGAACTTCCGTTGTACGGAAACCCCTCGGAATCAATGAATGTGATCTACACATATGGTTAGAATCGTACCATGGCTTACAGCGAAACCACTGCCATACCTGTAAGCCCAGAATTTGAAAGCTGTAAGCTCGAGCCAGAATGCCAGAATGAATATTCATGTTCGATATCGATAACTATCGACCCACTTCCATCTACTTATTTTTTCTTTCATGACGAGGCTGCGCTTTGCGTGCGTAGAAGTGCTGGCACGGCCAGTGTCCACCGTGCTTCCATTTATTTATGGGCTTATGTGTTTGATGATTGTTCGGAATATGCTTCCTTCGATTGACTCAGAAGACAGCCTTCTAGCGGATCTGCAGTGATGTGGAGTCTCAATTCTAGTGATAGGAAAAACTGTGAAGTTTCACCACGTTTCTAGCAGCAGTGAGTGATTTTTGGAGGCTGTTCCCTACTGGCAGTCGTATACACTCTATAATGCTATGTACTGGCAATTGGCTTGACATACATATGACTATTATTTAGTGGGCTTCAAGATGAGTTGATAGTCAACTCGGTCCCAGTCGTTCTGATGGTGGTACATATATCAAACCCTCTGGAAACTGCCAGATTCAACAGCTTTACTTATGATTATGTAGTTAAATGAAAGAGAAGGCGGGAAGAAGGGTCGGGATTAGTCGACGGCCGTGATGCTTGTGGGGTTCCCCTTAATATTACAATATGTAGAATGTTCAATCCAGCGCTATCACGTCCGGGTTTAGAAGTCCCTACCCGTACTCAATGTTCTTACCATACTACGAAAGATTCGAGAATGATCATGATGATGAATGAGTTTTCAATTAATCTTTTTGGACATGCAACATTCTTCCCTCGGATCCGTCTGTCGTCTAACTATCTACTTACTAGTAAAAAGTTGGGTATGTTTTGAACTTCGAGACGAGCATTACTGCTACAGCCAGTATGACCCCGTTTCCGAGTTATCCCTGTTAGCCACATATTCATGTTTTTTTGCGGCTAACATAAGGGTCGATATCGATATATGTAGTAGTACCTAAGCACTTCTCGTGCTTTAGTTACTTTTAATTACTCTAAACACAGGGACCCTGGATCCGAGAAATAAGGAAGTCAACTCGAAATTGAAATAGAGGGCACGGAAAAGTCGATTTGGAGTCGCTTGGAAGAGTACAATAAGACTAATCAGTGGACGCGGAATATTAATGATCTACTGCACGTAGAGAGCCTCACGGACTCGGTGTTTAACGTGTAACTCGGCGCTTCGACTTCGAACCTAACCGCCACTTGCCTTACTTACACCTCGATATGTATGGGTCAGACTTCGTGCTTCCAAGGTGGAGTGGGTAAAAGACCTGAGGCCTGAGGCCTGGGTAATAATGTATGATCTAGTCACTGCCTCCGTTTCAACACCGGTATGTGTCGACTCGGTATTTCTTCTGTGATCGAGGTGAAAATTTTCTTTTGATTCATTAGTTTAGTATGTAGCTTATAGTGCCTCCGTAGATTGGTGTGAATGAAAGATTGGACACGTACAACAGTTCTGTGACTATCAATCTCACCATACAGCGTGGTAATGTAGCTGCTTATGCATATCCTATCTGGACAGGATAAATTGTTGTTAATCCGCGGCAACAGGCGGTGGTAAGTAAGTAAGTAGCAAAAACATATAGTAAGAGTATGGATGTAATGCAGGGAAATGCCACTGCTGGTTTCGGGATAGGTGAGAAATTACTATCAAATTCAATGTCCAATCCACAGGAAGTGCGTAAAAAAGATGGCGCTGCCAAATAAATTATTCAGAACCTCAGAAGGGTAACTAAAGATGTCGACCTCGACGCCGTCGGATTGATCCAACTTTGATTGATCGTGGATCCGTGTGGCAGAGCTAGTCTAGTTTAGTTTGGTCTGAGTAGGTTGTACGTAGAGTTTGATTCAGTGAAAGGAATAGGTTAGGATAGTAATGATAAGGTGGACTTTGTAAATGATTCGAAAGGGTCAAAGAGAAGACAAAACGGCCGCGGATTTTAAATATTCACTTACTGACCATTGAATACTCTACGTCTTTGTTTTTTGTGCTCATGTGGCTCTGTGCAGTGACATACTTGTTCACACACTTACTTACTGAAGTTCACGGAACTAAGTCAAAGTAAGTACATATATGCATACGCCTATCTACCCAATTGTTGAAAAGATATGTACCAGCTCGTTCGGAACAATAAAACCTCACCTTCACCATATGCTTTTTTACATACACATACATATATTTTACTCAAGCTCGGTGGGCCAGAGTCTGGCTCTCACTTACAAACATATATCCGTGCTAGCAACAATGCAGGGTCGGCCAAAGTCAAGGGGCTAGGCTGATGAACCTGTGAGCAATTATTATTCTAAAGGGTCGGGTCCGAGGAACCTCGACTGTTGATCATATGCCTGTGCGCCATACTGACTACCGTGCGCCATATGCGCCTAATATATTCGTATCGAAGTCGTCGGTCGTCGGCGAAAGAGTTCTTTATCATTCGTGGCTGTGACCGCAGCGCGCGGTCGTGTGGAGTACTAAGATCATGATGTACTTAGTTGAACAAATGATAATAAAAAAGTATGAAGGAGCGTGATTGTTAACTTTCAAAAGCGGTGCGTGTCAAAACTGTACATTGTACTCTGTGTATGTGACATAGTACATGTCACTAGCTGTCCAGCAGCTTGGATAAACCAGCGAGCCTGAGTAGGGATAGGGGCTTAGTAGTGCTTAGACAATTACTCTACTAAAAACATTAAAGGCCAGGTTAAGCCACGGACTCAACAGTCGAACCTTTCAGCCTAAAATTAAAACCAACATCTACACCTTTAGCCGCAGTCAGTTCAGGTCAGTCCTTCGCCGGACTTGTGTGCTCGTGTTGTGATTGTAACGGCGCAGCCCTTAGCCTAGCCTGACGGCTTGCATAGTCCGTGAAATCGTTTAAGGTAAGTACTCTTGCAGCTGAGTAACTTTGGTTGAAGAAGCCGTTTTACGGGTCGTGGCGGTAGTACCCGGAATGCTATTATGTACACTAGTCGTATATGGGTACAAGACCCCGAGAATGACTGAGCCGAACACGGACCTGGACAGACTTGGAAGGGCGGGCATAAGACACCTTTGTCGGTTCGAGGTGAGAGGACGGATGAATGTTCGGAGCTTTTTTCCCTTTGTGGATTTCGTTTTCCGGAATCCGTCGTCGGTTCGGATTCGGATGAGTCGGTCTGACCCGACCTTTGCCCCCTATGCTTGGTTTGGGTGGGTACTACGGAGTTGGGTCAAGAGTCATCTGCCACAAAAAAATGACTGTGTTACTGTACTACTTAGAAGTCGTAGAACAATCTAGTAGGTGAGAGCGACGGATGAATTTTTCGGATTTCGTTTTCCGGAATCCTTGTCGGCTCGGACTCGGATGAGTTGGTCTGACCTTTACCCCTATGCTTAGCTTGGGTGGGTACTACGGAGTTGAGTCAAGAGTCATCTGCTCTGCCAAAAAACAAAAGAAAACTGTTACTGTACGTACCGCCTATTACTTAGAAGTCATAGGGTAATCTAGTAGGAGACTAAAAGCGAGTCACTAGGATAGGAGGTAAGTACTTAAGTACTTAGGGTAGTATGCATGTTAGTTATATAGCTTTGACTCGAAGTTAGTCTTAGCCACTTACACATACATGTACTTACTATGTAACTAGTAAGCAATCCGAAGTATGGCTGACCATAAGCTCAAGGGGTCGAAAACGTCCAACTCTCACCTGCTTCGGGTCATCCCTATTGTCCGCTTGAACCAAAAGCCCACCACTCAGTCTGCCTGTCAAAGGCTCAAAGCTAACTGCTAGCGTACATAACTTAAGTCTTACCTTACCGTGCTCGGTGCCACATGTAATTTTTTTTTTTTGGATGACCGTAACGTATATAATAATTAATAAACCGTAACCATCATGATACATGCACTGCACAGAAATGATAAGATAGGGGTAAGTAAGTACATAAATCAGTATGTAGGTAAGTAATAAAGTATGTACATACTAGATCCTTGTTTTAAGTTTATGTACAAACCATCCCGCCCCGCAGCACACACATACTTGATCATGAATACTAGCTCGAGTACATACTTGTGTTTACTGCGTATCTGAAGGTAGGTAAGTACTCCGAGAAGTCGTTGTTTTACCTACCGGCGGTACTGCGTTAACATCGTCATTGGTAGTACTTAGTACTTAGTACTTAATCGGTTCCGTTGATATCGATTATGAGTTTACTCACCGGTGGTACTGCGTTGAGATCGTCATTGGTAGTCTTAGCATTTTGAGTCAAGTCCCCCCGGTGATTTC